CAAGCGTTATGCTAAATATAACCACGGCCACCGTAACAGCAGCGGCAATCATGTCTTCTTGCTGATGCCGCTCCTGTTACTGTGTCTGCTGTTGAGTCAATATCCATCCTTAATCATCCCAAAGTGCAGGACACACAAGAATGGGCTCCAGTTACAGGAAGCCAGATAAAAGGCTGACTACCAGGAAAAACTTCCTGAATGTTAGAGCAGTACGGCAATGGAAGTCGTGACCACTGGAAAGTGTTGAGCGCTTCAACGTTGGAGGCATTCAAGTGAAAATCGGACCACCCTCTGTCAGATCTGCTTGGATTTGGAGTCCCGCCTTCAGCAGGAGGTTGGACTTGATGACCTTAGAGGCCCCTTCCAACTCTATGATTCTATGTAGTTTGACTCTATTAGTGGTTCCCAATGCAACAATAAGAGTCATTTATTTCTCCCTCCCGGATGTCTCTTCATACCGCAGGTTAAGGCAAACTGGGCAAGTTGAATGATCAACTTGCCCAACTTGATCATAGTGGGGACTTCATTGCCCGTAGGGAGAGGTGATGTCACCCTGGCTAGGATTTTGCAGAGGCCATAGGACAGAGGTGAGAATGGAAAAAGAGACAGAGATTGAGAGAGAGAGAGAGAGAGAGAGAGAGAGAGAGAGAGAGAGAGAGAAGGAAAGTTTCTCTTCTGAAAGCAACAATCCAATTTGAGAACAATCCCTTCTGGTGAAGAACAGTGACAGAGGCTGCTCTGTTCCTGTTAATTTTCGCGGCGCAGCTGTCAGCAGGTCTGTAAATAGCACGCCGAAAAGCCAACACTTTCCCATCCACACATCAACTGTTCAATTAACAGAAGAAGGATATATAAAGTGTGCCACCGCCTTTGATGCTTCCCGGCAATTTATGAAAGTGTACACAAATCTAATTACAAGCCCCACTGCTTTCCATTTACATGGTGCCTCTCGAGTTTGGAGCTGTTTATATCAAAATAATTGTTAAAAAATATATCAAGGATGATCTACAGCGCTGGGGCCCCTGTGACCGCCAAGGACCTCCACTGTGATCCCCCCCGGCCCCCCTTCCATCGAGTTTCAGCCAATTTGGCAATAGGGTTCCATGGACAGCGGATGGGATCTCCCCACTCCCCTTGTGTGCCTTGTGGGCGACAACTTCCTTGAGACCACATGTTGTTTGTGTTCCTGGGCCAACCGTTCCAAAACTTGTGTCCAGGGAACTTGGGACTGTTCGAGCAGTACGACGATGGAACCCATGACCTCAGGAAGGTGGGGAGCGCTCTAAGGCTGGAGGCGTTCAAGAGAAACCTGGACCAACCATCTGTCAAATCTGCTTGGATTGGGATTCCTGCCTTGAGCAGGAAGTTAGACTGGATGGCTTTTACAGGCTCCTTCCAACTCAGTTATTCTATGACTTACAGCAGGGGTGTCCAACCTTTCACCTTCCCTGGACCACATTAGAAGATGAAAATTTGGTTTGGACCACACATGCATTTGGTCTGGGCTGCATGGGGGGGCAGCCCTAGCCGTCCTCCGCAGCCCCGCTCCAAGCGCGCTTACCGGCAGCTGCGATCTCAGACAGCAGAGGCTGCCAGCTTCGACTCCGGCAGCTTTATGGGGCCGGGAGGGGGTCCACCTATTGACAGGGATGGCGCAATGCAGTCATGCAGCCCTCCCTGTTCCCTCCCCTCCCACTCCTTCCTTCCTTCCCTCTCTCCCACTCTACTGTTGTGACATGCCCCGGCCACATTCTGCCCACAAGCGCCAGCAGTGTAACTTGAAACTTTGGAATTTCTTTAAAAATAAAAAATTACACTGGGCCGCATTACGAGATGACCTGGGCCGCATGCGGCCCTCGGGCCGCGGGTTGGACAAGCCTGACTTACAGCATCGTGAACCATCCAGCTGGCATGGCTGGCAAGCACTTTGTGATGGGTTCGAGAAGAAAAGGAGAACAACATTTGCACAAACAAAGAAAATGCCGGGTTAAATAACGCTTTACCAAAAGCCACACCAAGGCACCACCTGATGATAGCTATTGCTTACGTACATGGATTTTTAAGGATTAGAAGCCTCGGGGGCTGTTTGCCTCATTTTGAACAATCAACCCATCCTTTCATGCTTGATGGTGTATTTGTGCTTTGCTTCTCACAGTCAAAGGGCATTAAGGCCTAATTCAGAGATGCTTTGCTCAAATGACTCCGACACTGATGAGAAAACTCTTTTTGCTTTTGCTCCCGCTCTCGCCTGGAGGCAAAGAATCTTGCAGGTCCTGAAAGCGCTTTGGTTGAAGTGGCTTCTTGACTTGAGTCTGTCAGTAAGAACGAAGAAACCAGCAAGAATTTTTTTTACGTCCTTAGCACACCGAGTTCGGAGCAAAGAAGAACAGATAGGCCAACTGATCAGTACTTGATATCAGTTTTAGCAACTTGAACATGTTCTCTGTTAACTTGAAATATAAATTTTAAGATCCATTCTGCAGAATGAGTAAAAAGTGCAATATGCCATTTTTTACAGGTAAGAATTCCACTACTCCAGCCTTGGCGAAACTTTCAAACATGGAGTGGACCGATCACAATCTGAAACAAATAATCCTGGAGAAAGCTGGGTCATGTAATTCTTCTGTATGTAAAACCTGAGACTGATTCTGCTAAATGCGAAGCTCCTCCCAAAGAATAATCCAATTTAATCCTATCATTATCTTTTATTTTTCTTGTATTATAAATTCTTTTCCCCCCTTCCCTTTTCGGCCATGGTGATTAGAATATTCTGGGAGCTGTCATTCAAAGGAGACCCATTCCCAAACTGACGTTGCCTTGTCACACGTCACAACCCATCTAGCTCAATGGGATTGACTCAGACCCAACAGTACTGTCTTTTTCTGTGTATAAGACTATACTTTTGTCTAAAATCTTTAGAATAAAAATTGATGGTCGTCTTATACATGGAAGTAAGCTGAGGAGAGAACAAAAACAAGTGGAGGGGAAAGCAGGGATCAAAGCGATTCTGCAGCGCTTATATCCCTTTTCCCCTACACTTGCTAAGCCCCACTTAGATTTCTTAATTTTGGATTAGAAAAGTGGGGGCGTCTTATACGTGGGGGTGTCGTATACACGGCAAAATACAGTGCCTCTGCAAGATCTCTCCGATGCCGCCCTACCTGGAGATGCAGGAGGCGAAAACAATGAAGGTCTGCATGCAAGAGATACTGGCTGCCACTCAGGTGTAGACACCCTGCTCTATTGACTCCGCATTGCAATTCTTACGTCCTTGAGCTACAGATGGCAGGCCTGTCCATGGTTGGGTGTAAAGCAACCTGGTCTCCATCAAGAGGAAAGTGGGACAGGAGAAGAGAAGAAAACTTTAATCAAACCAAGCTCCTTTGTTTTTTGGGAAACTGTTAGGCAGCATATGCTATGGGTGAAGAGGAGGCCACAGTGGAGCAATAATCCTAACAGCTGTGGAGAAACCAGAGCCTACGATAGGAGCAAATGGCCTGAGATATGACAGGAATGATGATGAATGCCCTGTGAGGATGAGACACATGACTGCCAAAACTGGCTGAATAAATGGAGGAACTTTTCTGCTGGCATAGCAGCAGAAAGAGGCAGGCAGGCAGGAGAAAAGATGTGGAGATGCCCCCTTCTGCTCAGAATGAACACCCTCAGAGAGGACAACAAAAATTGGTTGTAACCATTGCCCTCTGAAGTACTGGACTTGGGAAAGCAGAGAAACCTGGCCATTCTCTTGGTTTATGTTGAGACCTGGGATGTGAAGACATCTGGCTAAATTACTCTGCGATCATGTGAAGACAGATGATTGAGAATTTGTTAATTGACACTCTATTTCTAAAGCATAATGATGAGATGTCAAACCATGTGTCCTCCCTGACATGCCTGCAATTCATGAAAAACATCTCTGTGTGAAACAAATAAAGCTGGGATGATTTGCACAGTCCCTCCTCTAAGCAGAACCATCTCAAAAATTGGCAACGATAAGCCAACCTATCTCCAGAAGAGTCCAGGTTGGAAGCAGGTACCAATTTGTGCATGGACAGGATTGGGAGGCAATACAGATCCTGAAGTACGAGCTTTCTTAGGACACCAAATTATCCGAAGAGAAGAAGAGAAGAAAGGAAAGGGAAAAAAAGGAGAAGGCATACTTTCAAAAGTCCTTCCAAACTCATTGACCTGGGTGTTGCAAAACTTGGGAAGGAGGGGAAGGGAAAGTAGACATGTCAACATTTCACCCATCCAGATGTTCACCAAGAGAATTGGACTTACTTAGGCTCCGAACCAGAAATTGCAAAAATCTGGAGACCCATCTTGAAGGGGGATGTTAGGCATGTTTAGCTTGAAAAGCCACTTGTCTCTCTTTCACAAGGCTATTGCAAGAAATACAGCTAGTCAATGTCTGTGAAACACGATGCAAATGTTACATGATGATTATTTCTACCAGTGGAGCCCACAACTTTCCCTCGGTTCTTACTTGCTGAAGCGTAGATAAAGAGCAACACCTCCAGGAGATCAACCAATAATCATTACTTGAAAAGACCCTATGATTGGTAGGCATGCAGTCCTTTTCACTGGACTACAAATACCATTGTGCTCTGTTCAGGGAGTTCTGCCTACCTTATAGACACCTTAGTGTGGCTCACCTGGGAGAAAAGGCCTAAACTGCAAGGCTTTGAGGCCGAGCTAGACTTAGGTCTGCTCAAACTTCCTGCTCAGGAAAAAAAGCCAGCACCTGAGCAGGAACAGGAAGTTTGCATGGAGCGAGCTTCCTTTTGTGACTTGAGCCTCAGATCCTTCCCATTTAGGCCTTTCCCCCAGGCGAGTCACACAGGTGTCTGTGAGGTAGAGGTAGAACTTCCAAGGTGGGGAATTGTGGTCTTTGCAGTCCCGAAAAGCCAAAACTCGGCACAGGGCTGTTATTTTTCCACCGTTGGGTCCGCGGTAGGGTTAGCTGAGCCGCCCATCGAAAAAAGGAGGGTACTCACTGGCATGGTCTGGCTTCCGTGCAAAGCGTTGATGGCTGCCTGGGCTTCCGCATGGGACGAATACTTGACAAACGCGCACCCTGTAAGGAGAGAGAGAAAGAAAGATAGGACAGATTGAGAGTGTGGTTCACGTGGCTTGGAAATAACCAGGGCTTAGAAAAGTTCCTTTTTTTGAGGGGGGGGGACTTCTGGAAAGTACCACTCCCTCCCCCAATGAGCTTTCCAGCAGAATCAATCCTTTAATATGCCTTGCAACCTGGCTCGGAGGCCATTCAGAAAGCGGTCACTAGCTCTGCCCTGTCTTCTCCTTAGAACAATGCTGGAAATGGTGTGAACGCCACTGATCCCTGCAAAGCCTCACCAGAGAGAGAGAGAGAAAAGAAGAAGTCAAATTCTAGTCCTCATTGTTGCAGAGATCAAAAGCAGGATGATAAAGGGAAGGAGGCAGGGATGATAGACACAGCTCCGGATGCTCTGCTTTTCAACCGTTGCTGTCTGCACTTTGATGCCCTTTAGAATGGAAGCTTGTGAGGTTGGCTTTTCTTTTTTTTAAAAAATTCCCCCACCTGTGAATGCAACTTTTTTCAAAGTTGCTCAACCGGCTGCTGCCTCGGAGACTCTGGCAGGTGTGTCTGTTGCCTCTCACAACTGGCGGAACAAAGCGCTGTACCTGCGGGTGGCCGTATGGGACGGGCTGGCAGCTTGCGCCAGATGGAGCCGGGCGGGTGTGGCACCCTCCTCACCTGCCGTGCATGTGTGCGAGCACAAGCGCATGGCCGGAGCTGACAGGTGTCTCAGCCAATGGGCCTGAGCGGATTGGCCGTTCTTTTATATTTGACTGCGATACTACTGTGACTTTATTGTATATGCTTTTCATCTATATTGTAACATACCTCGAGGGCACTTGGAGCAGAAAGCTGGGATATAAATCCGCTAAATAAATAAATAAGTGCCTCGTTCCTCCCAGATAAAATGGAGCAAGGAAAGTGTGTTCTTTAATTCTAGGACCATTTCATATTCCTTGGTAATAATAGATTTTCTCCGAATGCTACGGCGTTTGTCAATTATTTCTTATTTGCATCTGATTTCCCTTATGCTGCATGCTTTATTTCCAGAACCGGAAAAACCCGTGCGCATGAATTAACAGGCTTTCTGTCCCTGGTTTGTACACCACAGAAGGCATGATTATGAGGGGCCCGGAAATAGCAACCCACCCTGTAGGGTTGACAGATGTTATGATGTTCTAATGGGAAGGAGGAAGAGAAGTTTTCTGTGATTCTCCAAAGCTGCTTTTCTAAGCTCTGAGATTATGTGGGGTAAGGGTGGGCCCCTTTTGGTTTTTGAGCTCAATCTTGAGTTTTAGGGGCAGATAATTGCGGGAAAAGTCATGAAAGAACTCTGAGTGAACTTCCATGTAACTCCTGGTGGTCCTGTAAGCGGGGTTGCAGTCCTACTGAGATTCCCTCAGGCTTCATGGGGATCGCACTCTGTGTGCGCGCCTGTTGATACTTATGCATTCCAGAGATTGCATTGTTTGTTGCCTGTTCGAGACTGTGTGTGTGACTATCCCATTGTGTGGAAGGAAGCAACGGTGCTGCTAACATGCAAGGTGAAAATGAGGAAGATCTTGGCCAGAGTTTTCTGAAATGTTCCAGGCCATTTTCTCAATGTTTCTTTTTGACTTATTGAGGATCAGTTTCTAACCAACCCATCCCAACCCAACATAACCCAGTCTAACCCAACCCAACCCAACCCAACCCAACGTAACCCAGTCCAACCCAATCCAACCCAACCCAATGTAACCCAACCCAACCCAACCCAATGTAACCTAACCCAACCCAACCCAACCAAAAACACACCACCTCCAGCCAGATCCTCAGTTGGTGCCTGCTGTCTTGGCCGTCTCTACGACTCAGTTGGAATGTTATCCTGGGTTTTTCTACCACAAAGAGGTCTTGCAAGTGGGAGCAGTTTTTGTGAGGGGGAGTCAGGTGTCTTCCTCCTTCTCAGTATCGTCTAGCCATACCTGGAGGTTTCATGGGTTGAACTGGAGAGCTTCTGCATACGAAGCCTTTGCTTTACCTCTGAGCTTTGCCCCCCCCCAATCATCAGTGGCTATTTCCTGATGGTCTCTCATCCTTCCAGGGAAGTAGACCTTGCCCTGCTCAGCTTACACAAATCATAGGGGGCTTTGGGATACCTGAGGGTGATAGAGAGTGGCCAGCTCTCGTGCTTTGTCCCTAAGACTCAGGTCTGAAGGTTTATTCTCCAGCTCTTAGGCTTCTGCCCCGAAATCTCAAGGCATGGGATGCTGTAGACCTTGGCAAGATTTGGGGCTCCTCCTCTTAACATCTCTGCACATCAGCCAGAGATGTCCCCGTTGATCCACATGTGCCATTGTGGTTTTGAAAACATGGCTCCTTTTTTTCCTTCTAAGAACGCACTCTCTTCCTATTGGCTAAAATTCTACAGATATTCAGGGACACACAAGAACAATTGAAGTCGCTATGGCTTATTGTAGCTAAATGACCAGAGGCAGGGCAGGGGCTCAATCAGGTGCACAGTCATGATGACCATCACGTGAATAGCACCTTGTTAAATACCGGGAGAAACTTCTGCAACTCGTCTTACACGGCCGAGAGGATTCTGGGCAGGGCGAGCCATGGACTTCAGCCTGCAAATATTTCCCCCAGAGACTCTGGAGGGTCGCCTCTTGAGAACACTATGTCACATCTCTTTGAATACATCACTGGCTGTCTGTGTGGCTTTCCAATCATGTCCCCATACCATGCCATTCTGCCATTATGGTTGAAGTATCCACCTTCCGTGATATCACCAATGATCCCCGCCCGGATAGTGTAGAGACTTCCGATTTTGGGCCTGGAAATCTCAAAGACTGGGATGAAGACTGGTGAAACCTAGGTATGGTGACTCATGCTAGTTGCCTCCATAGCAGAGTGGATCCCTAGACCCACATGACCTCAGATGACCCCCAAAGATGAAGAGAGCTTGGCAGCTGTCCTGTTGCTGTTCCTCGCTTCTGGATTTGCACTACTTGATCCTGGAAATCACTCAGGTTCAGAGAGGGACACTTCCTGAGCTTCGATGCTTCGGCATAGTTGGGCAGATCGGGCCCACAAGCGTTGGGGGGGTGCCCTAGATTCTGTGCCCTGCCTCCTCCTGAGGGCGGCCACTCAGAGGAGGAGGTGGGGCAAGGAAGCCCACGGCGCAGTTTGTGATGGGGCGCTTGTGGGAGGAGGTGGGTATGGAACTTGGGGCACCCCCTGCAACTCCTGTGGGCTCGATCCGTTGAACCAGGCTGAACCACAGTAAGTGTCCATCTCTAGGAGCTGTGCTTACACAGCTGCCCGCCTTCAGAACGTGAGTCATTTCAGGTGATGCCCTTTGCACCAGGCAACCACCACGCCACACTTACCTTTGCTGTTGCCATCTGGTCCCCGGAGAATTGTGCACTCCTCAATGTTGCCAAATGCTTCAAATAGCCTGCGCACGTCATCTTCCGACTGCTGTTTGTTGAGCATGCCCACAAACAGTTTTCTGTCTTCTGGAACAAAATTCAGAGGTGCTTACCATATTTCACAAGGAATGGGAGAGCAATTAACACTATGCGCGGAGACATCGACCTATGTCAGATCTGGAGGACAACATGCTCAAGATGTCGTCAATGACAACCCATTGGCCGAGCAGATCTGTCGTATCACAGGATGGCCCATCGGTGGTCTGTGCTTCCAGCCACCCTGCAATTCAATTTCCTTCTTTCAAATGATGCAACCACTTTTAATCAAGGTATGGCAAGGATTTATTCACAATTTTGATTATAAATAAGTTTCGGCAGCCTTGGACCACAGGGTTTACCACTTTTACTGTGGCGTTTCCTCGGGAAATGGAGCCTTGTATCAAACTAGATCACACACTTAGCCTCTTAGTAGAAGAGATGCTCCTTCATGTGGGGAAAAAAGTCTGTTTGTCATAGCACTTGTCTTTGACTCTGTACCGTGCATTTGGCATGCTGTGTTATGACTGAGCGTACACTTAATTTGCATGTCTGAGTGCTGAGACTCCTCTATGAGAAAAGACCATTGGGAGCAGGAGATCACTGGAATGATCCCCACAGACTTAAAATTCCTATGATTCCCTGGGAAAAGAGAAGATTGAAGGGGCTCAAGTTTGCATTACGAGTACATGCACATAAATCCATCTCTGTGCTAATTTTCTGCCAAAGATTGAGACTTCCATTTAATAGATTGATTATGTCCAACGACATGTGCTTCTTAACTGAGAAGGTTTTGGTGCTGTTTAGCACCAACTTTATTATCCTATCTGAGCAGTGGTGAATGGACAGGTTACCTATATATATAGTAGGATCCCCTTATCTGCAGGATCAGTATCCACTGATTCAGTACCCACAGTCTGAATATATACATACATACAATGTCATTACCAGAACTGGCCACTAGAGGGAGACAGAAACCGCACCATGTATAACATTCACTTTTATATAGTGTTTGCTATAATCCGCATTTTCCAGCATGTCTGGGGAACCAATCCCCACAGAACCAATCCCCCATGCAGATGGGGGGGTGCCCCTACTGTACTCCCAAACCAAAATGTACGGAATAGATTGAAAAGGAGGTTGTTGAAATCAGAGACATAATCTGTCCCTGCTTTTTAAAAAATTGCTTGAATTGATTCCAAGTTTTGCAGACTGACTGTAGACATTTTGTCTAAAGAAAAGAGAAGAGGAAACGGGGAAAACAGAAAGACCACACCATAGCCTTTTTCTACGGGAGAAAGACATGCTTAATTTATAGTTTGCTAAATGCTATGTAAATGTTTCTGGGCAGTGATCCCCCCTCCCCCTGGAGACATTTACAGAACAGATGCAACCAATCTGAACGAATCCTTGTCAACAAATAAGCAAATTCACCAGGTTTTCTTATTTCTCTCTTTTTTTTAAAAAAAGAATCCATGTGCATTTTTTAATCCTCTATGTTCTGCTGCTTGATGCTAAATCTAAACTGTGAGAGAGAAACCGGGCAGGCGGTGCTCAACCTCTTGGTGACTGTGCATGTGACGATGCACTGGGTGCCGTATTTCCCCCCCAAACTAACTTGGCCAAGCGCTGGAAAAGACTCTAAGAAAAGGAAGCATGAGGGCATGATGTTAGAGCACAATACTTCAGACGCATATGTTTTGGAGATGGGCACAGATTTAAAAAAGGAATCACCAAATTCATAGAAAAAGCACTAATTCATTGACTAATATTCGTATGATTCAATGCCCCTGACGAATCATGAATCAATGAATTTTTGCCATGCTTGCTTTGTTGATTCGTTCAGCTTTAAAATGCCCCCCAAGACACTTAGAGACACCGAAATCACAGGGAAGCTTCCCATAACTCTCCTCTACAACCCCTCTAAGTTTGGTGAAGATTGGGTTTCCCCAGGCCAGCTGCTAAAGGGCACTTTCCTGGGTGTATAACCTGGATGTCTGAAACCCAACCTCACTGAACTAGGACAGATTGTAGAAGAGAGTCAATACAAGCTTCCGTGTGATTTTGGTGCCTCTAGGTGCCTGGGGAAAACTTTTCTGGGATCCCTCTTTGTCGGGGCATAACTGAGATGTCCAAAGCCCAAACTTCACCAAACATGGAAGGCTCGTAGAAGAGCATCAGGGGAAGCTTCTCTGCAAATTTGGTGTTTCTAAGTGCTTTGGCAGGCCAATTTCTAGGGCTTAAAGTAAAAAACAAATTAGCAAATCAATTCAGAAGTGTACTCTCTAATTCAGAAAAACATTGTAAATTCATAATTTGTGATTTGTTGATCCTGGTGAATCACAAATCAAAACGAGTTGCAGTTTTTCTGATTTGTGCCCATCTCTAAAAGGTTTGCCATCATTGCTTTCTCTCGCACTCAGATCTTGTACATTTCAAGCTCTTTCTGCCTGATTCATGAAGAAATTTGCACATTTTGGTTACTTCTCATAGAAAAACAATTGAGACACATTTCCATTGGCATTGGCCGAATCTGATAGACACAGCTGTTTTCAGCATTAATATCATTATATTTATTGAAAGTATTGTTACCTTGCCTTTCTCCCTAAAAAAGGACCCAGGGCTGCTCACAGCCTCAGTTAACAATCTGGCTTCCGTGTTTCAGACCTGCTGAAGTTTTGTGACGCTTTCCGGAGGCAGCCCCATGTAGAGTAAGTTACAGTAATCCAGCCAGGCAGTAACTAAGGCACGTGTCCCTGTGTCCAGATCTCTCCAGGAGTGGCCCATATTTTGTATTCACAAAGGCTTTCATGGCTGGGATCTGATGGTTGCTCTGTTTTTGGGGGGCTCTTTTGCCGTGTTCTGAAGGCTGTTCTTCCTAACGTTTCGCCAGTCTCTGTGGCCGGCATCTTCAGAGGACAGTACTCTGTGCTCTGGAGTAGTTGGCTTAGGAGTGCAGTATTTGTGGCTGTGAGACAGGCTTTTGTCTTTTTCTGTAGATGGGTGATTAGTGTGTCTTGTTGTGAGTGTATTGTTGTGCTAAGGAGAAGAGATTATCTGTCACTGTGGTTGATGGGTGTCATTAGCCGGTCTTTTGTGTGTAGTGATCCCCTGTCCTTGCGGCTGGGTAGAGTTCGTTGACCTTTTGCACACTGTATTTTTGAGAGCTGGGAGCCATCTGAAGATGCCAGCCACAGAGACTGGCGAAACGTTAGGAAGAACAACCTTCAGAAAACGTCCAAAGAGCCCGAAAACCCCACAAAGGCCCATATTTTATTTGCCTGCCATGTAGCTGTGGAGGATGAGTGTCATAGAAAAATAGAAGTGGCCACTCGAATTCAGAACCAGAAAGTCCTGCAGGGGAGGAGGCAGTACTTCAGGCTGTGTCTTGTGCCTGACTCCCAGAAGCCCTTCCTTTTGGACGGACATCCTGCTGTGGTGCCGTGCGTGCTCCCAGGCTGAGTCTCTGGGAACGCCAGAGGCTTTCTCCCAGTCCGACTTTCCCTCGCTGTCTCCGCGCTTTCTCTTTCTCTCTCTCTCTCTCTCTCTCTCTCGCCTGGTGAACTTGTCGGATTAAATATGCAGTGTTCTGAAACCTAGCTCCTGGTGTTTATAGGAAGTCCCCGCACCTCCCCTGGTGCAAACAGGGGTTAAATTATTCCTTGTTCTATTTGTATTTAAATGTTCTGTTTTTATGAGAAGTTGTGAGGCAGAGAGGTGTCAGACAGGCTGGGAAAGCAAGACAACGTGCAATAAAGGGAAAAAAAGAGACCCAGGCAGGCCGAGAGGTGAGAATCACCAATTAACAAGGCAGGAGGGCAAGGCGCGGAAGACATCGTTAGGCTGCGCAGCTGGACGGGTGACAGTAAGGTCACTAGAATCGTGGCGCGGCCAGAGTGACTGGCAGCCACAGAATTGGGCTCCCCTAAATTGCATTATCATATAAATGGATGTGAGGTTCCCCATGATATATGGATATGGATGAAAGCAAGTGCAGGAGTTAGAAGAAAAACAGATTCTCCCCCCCACTCCAGAATAATGAAGTTACCATGGGAGAGCAAGGAAGGAAGATGGGTTCGTAATTTTGCTGCCCGACCAGTGTCTGCTCCCATTCACCCTAACCAAATGACTTACCATATTTTTCTGTGTATAAGACTATACTTTTGTTTAAAATCTTTAGACTAAAAATTGAGGGTCGTCTTATACATGGAAGTAAGAGGGAAAAACAAAAACAAGTAGGGATCAAAGCGATCCTGCAGCACTTTGATCCCTTTCCCCCTACACTTGCTAAGCCCCACTTATTTTTCTTGATTTTGGATTAGAAAATTTGGGATGTCTTATACATGAGGGCATCTTATACACGGAAAAATACGGTATCCACATTATCAGTGAACGAATCCCCAGACATTCTTGGACTGCAACACCCAGAGGTCCTTGCTAGCATGGCTAATGGTGGAGGCTTCTGGGGCTTGCATTCTAAGATCGTCTGGGGACCAAAGGTTGAGAACCACAAGTTTAGGTCTCTGGCTTTGGAGCCAGAGGTTGGGAGTTCAATTCCCCCATTGGACCCCCTTGACAGGGGCTGAACCCGGTGATCTGTAAGGTCCTTTCTAGCTCTGCAGTTCTATGATGACGATAGAGATGATTTTGGCACATGAGAGAGAAAAAACAAGAAATGTCATCGCCCATCCACCAGAATAAAGCTGGAAATGAATTTAACTAGCTAGGTAACAAACAATGTGCTGTCATTTCATGACATCCCAATGCTGATACGTGAATTGAGCCACCACATGCCTACCAAGCAAACGTTGCCTTTCTCTCTGTCCTGCATGCCCGTTTTTGCCCCCCCTGCACCTTGGCAGGTCACCTAACACAGCTATTAGAAGAATACGTGAAAATTAAAAATAAAAATATTTTCCATTTGAGTGGAGAGAAGGAAAGAAAAAAAACCAGTGTATCTGTCGTGACTCCAGATCTGTGGGGTCCCAGATGTGAGAGCAGCCTCTCTGGATGAGGCCCTCTATTCAGTCTCTAGCAGTGGCTGCCTCTGT